TTTAATATGTTATGAATTGTCATTACTTTTAGTATTGCTTTTCATTAATAGTATAAAACAAATGTCTAATTATTCTTACAATCACTTAATAAAACGAATTAACAATATTTGTGTCCATCTCTGGATCAGTAGAAAGAATATAAAGAGTATGTATTCATAGCATTCAATCAATTTTTGGTCTCTTTTTTGGCCCTATTTTTCATTAAATAGAAATAAATGTTTGGAAATATAAATCTCAACAAAATGGCAATCTTTGGGAGTAATGGAGACACAAGTAATTGTTTGTCTTTCCTCATGATAGCCATGAAAATACGTTTGGCCACATCTTCGGGTTCATCACCCGATGCTGTGGTCTTATCCATCTGACCGTATGTATCGCCCGAACCTGTTATGGCATTCACCGAGAGATTGGTTTTTATATAACCGGGACTTATGACCAAAACGGAGACATCAGTTGCAAACAGTTCTGCGCGAAGACTATCGCAAAACGCTTGGAGAGCGTGTTTAGAGGCGGTATATGCGGACCTATAAGGGAGGGCTAACTGGCCCTGAATGCTGCTAATCACCACTATTTGGCCCATATTTCTTGCAATCATTGACGGAAGAAATGCTTTGAACGAGAAATAAGTATTAATTAGTCAAAAGTGGTCTCAATTTGAAAACCAATGAAACCTTTAATGAGAGCCAATTGTCCGAAATAGTTAACGAGCATTACTTGACGGTCGACATCGACGGTAGTGTCGATAACACTTCCCCTATAACTGATGCCTCCGTTATTGATAATCACATCAACGCTTCCGTAAAAACTGAGCGCATCCTCGGCGTACGATTCCATGTCTTCAAGTTTCGAGAGATCCAGTGCTAAGACTTTGGGCTCAAACAAGTCATCACTCGATTGGTTACTTGAGATGAGCCGCTCTTTCACTTCATTCAATTGGTCTACTCTTCGCGAAGAGAGAATAAGTCGAGCGCCAGATCTGTATAAGACTTGAGCCAAAGCTAATCCAAACAATTAATTGCTATAAGCGTTAAATTGCAGAAAACATGGTATAAATGGTAGACCTGTTCCGAGTCCCGAAGAAGCGCCGGTAATGACCACGACTTTGCCTTTCAATGGTTTGCTTTGAATTAATCGCTTATAAACGCGAAGTCTGTATA